TGTAGTGCTTAGATGCATAAGAGGTTTTTCCTTTTCTATGTTATTTTATTGTTTGGTTAAAATGTAGTTTATTGAGATTATGTATTTTTTGCTTGACTCTACTATAGAATTGGGTGCTCCTTTGTCTTTTTAAGTGAAAATATATCGATGTGTACAAAGACAAAGTCAAAGGAGTGGGCAATGCCAAGTTTGCGCAATTCTCCGATGTTTTTTAAAGTGAAAATAGGTTGACCTGTACACAAATAAAGTCAAGGGATTGTGCAATTTTGTGATTTTTTTTCAAGTGAAAATAGGTCAATGTGTACATGGATACCGAGTTTGTGCAATTCTTTGACTTGTTATTTTGTCTTTGTGTAGCGGCAATTTTAGGCGCTAAAATCGCCGCTACACAAAGCCAAAATAACAAGTGAAAGAATTGCACAAACTCAATATCTATGTACCACCAAAAACTTCAAATTTTCGCCAAGAGGTACCCGTAAATATACTTTTAGTGGATACTTCTTACTTGGCTGCTATACGTTGTTAAAAATTTAATACGTCTTAATTGTGAATAATCTACAAAAATTATTATGGGCAATCAACAATAAAGATATGTTTGGATTATTAAGTGATTTTGCAGTTCTTCAAAATTTTCCCCGCATCTTCTACTATGTAATTAATATTTCAGTGGTCTCCTAATTTTAAATCTACTCGCCACTACAAAATAATTGTTTTTCTCCCTAGTCAAACACTCATCTAATGCCAAATTAACTGCAAATAACAAAATTATTTCATTATATATAGAGATACAGTCAAAAGTCGTTAATTCAGACACCCATAATTCGGAATGATCTATAATCCGGACCTCAAAGCTAAAAACTTTCTGCGCATGCGCCACGTTGACACATGCACATAGGCGTTTACGCGTGCGTGTAAGACCTTTTACGACTGCGCATATGAGTCTGTGCAAGCGCAGAATACGTTTTCGCGTGCGCGTTTTATGTATAACGGACGGTATAAGCTAAAATTATCTAATTATCGATTTCAGTTAATGTTGAGGATTGTGTTGTTCCTTAATTTTCGAACTGGATACGGCTTATTATTTTTTTGCAGACTGTAATAGCAATACTATAAAAGTAAACTTGACCTTTCGATTATGTCAAATAGAATTTCCAATTCTAGAGCTCCCAAACGATTGTACAAAATGAAAGTATGTTTCGATGTTCATCAAACAAAAAGTGGAATTGCTGCAAAAAATGGTTAAAGACATGAAGAATATGACAGAGAGGTTAGTGAAAACGAAAAAATTTCGATTGACAAGTTAGTTGGTATTCTCAACACAGCAATTAACGGGACTTGAACAGCGGAACTTTGTAACTGAACAAGAAATTATGTCTGTTTATAGAATTAAAGAGAAAGTATTATCACATAAAACAAAGCAAGTTACATTGAAAGAAATATTTAATAAAGTAAACAAATAAATATTAAGCTTTTTTTTGTGTGTGTGTAAATTTTGATACCCTTTAGATCATAATTGTTCTTTATTTCATAAATTACGGTTTCATATTTTTAATTTTAGAACTTCTGCATGCCATCTTACGAGATTTAAACTGATGATCTATAATCCGGAATCGACGAAGTCCCGACGAGTCTGGATTAACGACTTTTGACTGTATATATATTTTCTAATTTGAATATTATACACAAAAAGTTTTGCTAACTATTTCAATCCATACTCTTCGTAGCAATCAATTATCTAGATAAGCAAGCCATTTAGCAGAATACAAAAATTCAACCCAATACCTAGTAAACAGAATATTACAGAACCAGTTTTCTTTACACATCTACAAAGGTGTAAAAAATATACAGTAATTTAGGAAGCAAAAGCATTATTCATTGTCTGGCAAATACTAACAGGTTCTTTTTAAGTTACTATGAAATTAATAATGAGCTAAAAGATTAATCAGTTTAATAAAAATTTGAACAAGGATAAACGATAAAATGTTGTACAGCAGAATTCTGAGAATCTATGAATATCTGCAAACCCAGTTCCAGTAACACTTTTGAGTAATAAACAAAATTTAAATTTTCAGAAAATTCAGCATGGCAAATTTTAAAAGTGTTTTTTCTTTTTTAATTATGTAAGCTTTTTATGAAAATACATTGCATTTATAATATAATCTGAGTGAAGAAGCAAATTTTTTATATGGAAACTGTTTAGCATTTTCTGCATAGTAAGCAAATTTCTACAAGCTGCATCATTTAGCATTGTAAGCACTATTTTTTTAATACATAATAAAAGAGGATCATGAATTGTTTGCTTAAAGATAAGTCCCCACTTTTGGGTGCATATCCTGCTGCTTTTAATATTAATTCTGAATTTAGGCACTTAAATAATTTAAAAACAATGTATATCAAGAAATCATAGCATTTGAAAACAAATTGAAACTGTTGTGATCTTACTTTAAGTATAGCAACTTTATTTACTACGCAGTTCTGTCTAACTAAATTTGTGCAAAAAGCAAAATATATACAGCACTGGTAGCTACTTTATCTGAAACAACTTCTAAGTACTTCAACTTCAACACATTTGCTACCCTATCTCTGCTAATATATCATTTACCTGTGAAATTACAAATATTAAATTATAATTAGATACTAAATGGAAAGAAAACTTACTTCAAGTGGACTTCTGTTGACTTTACTTAGCAAAAAAGTATTCATTGTTGTACAATCCTGTACAGAAAAACCCGGCTCAAGTAAACGAAATATTAAAGAATTTCAGAAGCATTTTTCTCCTGAAACATTTAATAAATGAGGGATTTTGTAATACCATTATAGAATTCATAATACTATTAACATGCACACATTGCTATCAAACAATATGATTTAATATCAATAATGGATAAGCATGACATCAAACACAATCATAAGAAGTTCATTTTGGTTTAATGTAAACTCGATTAATTCTTGATAGGCCAATTTAGTTTTTGTAAGGAAGGATAACGTTCTACTTTTGCCTTGCATTTTGGAAAAATAATTAATATTTGGAAAAGCAAAAGTGACATATTTCCAAAGCTACGGGATTATAGGCATAAAAAGGGGCACAATACATGACTTTGAAAAATGGAAAAACTATGGCAATGTAACGTAAGAAATTATGATAAGCGATTTAAGTTCTTTCATATGCTATACCCATGATTTCACCTCTTTATTACATAACTAAATAAAAAATCATCTGTTCATTTAAACTGTCGGAATGATTGACAGCATCTCCACCAAATTCCATGCTTGGTGGGATTTCATAATTGACTTGGTTTATTTGATTATGTCAAAGCACTCTAGGGCTATCTGTCTAAGAGGAGGGATGCCTTCATGGAGGACTTTCTAAGAGAAACTGGCTCATGTCCACATTACACATAAAGAAATCCATGAAAATGCCTATACAGCCAGCCGATTTGTCTGGAATCCAACCCAATGAACTACCAGTGTTCAGCAACTTTACCACTCAACTGCTGGTGAGCTTAATTTCATAATCGAATCAGATGTTCTACTTTCAAGTTTAAGTCTTAACAAAATGCGCCAGTTTTGTATCTGGAATAGTTTCCTTCTCGTAATTTGATATGTAAGCTTTTGGTATCGAAGTTGGTAACAAATAAGATGTTTTTATACGTTTTTCGGCTAAAATTCCATAAGCGGGGTAAGTTGGCGCCAAACTATTTTGGCCTTCAAAATTTGGCAAATTTTTTTAGGCGCACTAAATGAAAGCACTAAAATGTGATTTTTAAACGTCAACAGAATAGTAACTTTTAAGTTTTGCAGTAGTGAAACGCCGTTTTTTTACGTAAACAGAATAGTAAAATGAGATGATAAAATAGTAAGAGTAAAACAAAGTCCAACAGCTTTGCAAGTAAATGCATAGTCCTATATATATATATATATGTAATTCATCATAAAATAGTAGAATGAACAATACTTGTAAATAATTATTGAGTAAATAAATGTATACACTTATCAGATCAGAGCACTGCGAAGTCAGTTTTAAACGTAAACAGAATAGCAAATTAGCATCATAAACTGACCAAAATATTCAAGTTACTAAAATCGTCGTGGAATTCAACACACTAAAAAACTTTCGTTCAAAGCTTTAAATATTCCACATCTTTCGGTTGCCACATGCAAGAAACAAAACTAAAAAAAAAATTAAATTAAAACCTCATGCCATATGAAATCCAACATTCTCCCACCAACAACAGCTTAATCTTCTGCAAATATTTATGTAAATATAATATTAAACATATATATAACAATAATATTAAGCACTAAAACTTTTAAAAACAAACACAGTATTGCACAAACCTTCATTTCCTGTAACAGATGATTGATCAATTATTTTATTATGTCCTGCTAACCTCTGAAAATGAGCAACTTTTGCTTTTTCTGTTTGTCTGCCCTGAACTTTGTGCTTAAAAATTGAAGGCTCATAATCTGGATGATTAAGGATCATTACATGGTTTATCTGAAAAAAAAAATACGTATATATATATATATATATAGTGCGTGTGTGGAAAACAGAATAAAAAATAGTATTAGCTTATATTTTGATATTTCATATTGGCGATTGTAGCGAAATGCTCGCCCTCTGGTAGCGAATCGCTGGTACTAAAATAGCGCTGAGATGAACAGCAGTAATTGTAATTATATATTATTTTGCAAAATACTGTAACAGTACAAAATATTCTGTGTGCATATAAATGATTTCAGTCCTATATGTCTGTAATATTCAGTATTATAATTTCTGTAATTCTGTGCTAGAATTTCTAAAACAATTTAAAATATATTGTTTATACCATTCAGTCATAAGAATAAATTTAATATGGCTAAATATGAGAATTTCTCTCAGAAGCAGAGATAAGCTTAATAACTGATTTAAAGAAAAGTTCATGTCATATTTTTGTGATTCAATTACCCACATAGTATGTAATTTCACGTGTTTAAAAAACAGTTATATCTTACTCAAATATTGTACGTATATAATTAAACAATAAAAAACTTTATATTAATTACTATTATTAATAAAAAATAAACTTTATGTTATTATATTCTACATGACAAAAAACCCCATACAGACAGCCCAGCTACCAACGATAATCACTTGATTGTTGGTGGGCCTGAATATTAACATAATATTCAAATATCAATTACTATAAGAACAATCCAAATTGGGATACTTAAATATTTGCTCACTTTAATTTATCTCAGATTAAAGGTTAGTGTGCAATTAAACCAAAGTGATATTGCTGCTATGAAGCTATTTTTGCATTTTATACTTCACAATTTATAATATATAAATAAAACTAAAATTTAGCTAAAATTCGAAAAACCGTACCTTAAATCTGGTACCGCATCACATATAGAATCATCCTTCTGCCAAGAATATACCTGGGGTAAGTGCAGCCCATGTTGACAATGACAAAACTATTGCAAGAGAGAAACATTTTTGGATAATGCAATTTTTTGTCTCTATCAACGATTCTGGAATTGCATGATGCAAGTCACCTAGAATGGATTCTTGCATTGTACGTTTGACATCACTGAACTGGATTATACCCGTTAGAATGAATAAAGTTGCAGTCAGCTGAACATTAAAAGAATGACAACTGCAAAATTAGTTTTAATTAACTCTAACATAAAACACAAATATGAATTGAAAGCTATTATAATCATAAGTTTATTGTATATGTCTGATCATGCAAGATTACAACAGACAAAAAATCAAAGTCGTAATAATATTTTATATATATATATATAAATTTACTGAACTAAAATTCATTGAAATCAAAAACAAGTTTTTCTAATACTTGCGCAATAACTGCAAAGTCAAGAAGAAATCAAGAACTGCGTCTTTAACAATTTGTATATTATCGTATGTATATTATACACACACATACCTTTTAATTTCCTCATAGCGAGTTTGTCTTCTCACAGCCTTTTCGTGTTTCAATAAATTTTTTTCAACTGTTTCTGTTGACAAAACGGGCAAAAAAAAACTTGGTACTGCTGACGGTTTTAATCGTGGTCTTTGTGACATATTAGCTGAAAGAAAAATAAATATTATGTTTCACATTTAAGTTTGCAATTAAAACAAACTAAGATAATACTGCATAAAATATTACATAACTGCTTCTTACATATTTCAAACACTGATTTTTTACAGAGATTTTGTATATAATTTTTAAGACAATAAAACATGATTTGACAGTCTTAAAAATCTTATCTTTTAATGATGCAGATTACATGGCAAGGCAGTATATTTAATTTAGAATAGAATTGTAATCCTGAGTCAGCCTCACAAAATTTTCTGTCAACAGAATGCCTATGATATGTTCTTCATGTATCTTTCATGGAACTCGAATAAAGTCATTAACAAGCCGAATTCAAAGCAATATGACCTTTAAAGTTGACATTAATATTTCACATACTTTCCCTAAACAGAATTTATAACCTTTCGAATGAAAACATTTATAAACTTCTAAAACGCAAATAGGGATGTTACAGTAATATACCTACAGGAAATATGGAATATACTTACGTAGCAAATTATAATCACTTGGTGTAAAGTGCTTGGAACATACACACATTCGTGATGAAACAGATTTTCCAATACGAAGCACCCTTATCCATTCGTCTCTTCGGCTAATGAGAACATTAGATCCAAAGCAAAGCTTTCTTAGTCTACTCTTTGCATTCGGAAATTTATGGAAACTTAATTCTGGGTTTTTAGAACCTTTTGAAGCACACTGAGGTACACAACAGTTTGTATTGTCTTTCTTGTTTACACTCGCCTTTTCCATAAATTCCACTTTCACAGTACACGATAACACTTGCTATACGAAACCAACAGGTGCGTTACCCCTTTCTGGGCGGGTTCTCCGGTAGACCTATTTCCCTTTCATCTTTTGGTAAATAAGCTAATGCTTTAATGCATATTTTGAAAATGTTGGACAATTATTGGCAATATGTGGTCAAAATATGAAACATGTAGGATAGATATCATATTTTTTATGAAATCAATATCTTTCTCTACAATTATTTTTACGAAACTGTTATCAAAAGATGAGAATATAATAAAATCGCATATGTTGATACCAGTTAAGTACATGCCAAGCTGCACTTGGCCATAAAATTTGTGTTTTTTCTTTAGTGCATATTTTGATTTATCAAGCTGTTAAATAATTCAGATCATGAATGATTTCTAAAGCAGGTTTTTGGCTTCCTTGAATGGGACATTTTATCTCAAGTATCTTAACATCTCCATTTTTGCAGAAAATTATTCCATCAGGGCTATAACCAAAAAAAGGAGCTTCTGGGTGTACAATTAGTCCACATTTGCTTACTGAATCACCACAGCTTTTTATGTATGCATTTCTTGCTGCATCTTCAAATTTCAAACCATAAAAAGTAGCCAGGTTGCCTCTAAAATCAGAATTAAGAAGCCTATTTATTTTGGTACTCCAGTCGGGACTTTTGTTTTTAGAGTATGTAAATATTTCATAACATACACTACTTGTTATTCTTTTCTGCTTTTCACAAAGCCATGACTTTGAATCTTGATTAATTGTAGATAATGCCAAATTTTTTGCTTCATCTTTAGTAACCTGAAATTATAAAATTATTTAGTTTAAAATTCTGAAAAGAAATGTAATGCACAAACTACAAAAATATCAAGCTATATGTTTTTATATCTACGGTTTATTCAATGATAATTTCTTTTAAAATATATAAAATATAGCATATGATAAACATATGTTTAAAAGTATTGACATTCCTTGTTATTAGATAAAGAGTAAAATTTCTCTTAGCTGGAAATATGAAAATAACAGCACTTTTGAAGATCTAAATTTAAATCCGAAAATTAGCCCTATGAGGTAAAGAAATTAATTGATGGTATAACAAGCTGGAGATTAACAAGTATACACATGCTGCAGTTTCTACAGGAAAACATTTATATTTCAATTCAGCCACCCAAAGTAATAAGCCTTATCCAAATAATGGATCGAGGGATTTTCTAGAATGTAAAAATGAAATACCGATCCCTTTTTATGTTGTGGCAGCGAAGGGCCTACCAAAACGGTCAATAAGGGATATTTTTTCTAGGGAAAAAATTTTAAATTTGCTTGAGTTTTGTTCTTCTAGACATTCTACATGGTATTATACCAGGATAGAGTGAGTGATTATGGCGCAAAAACCAGAGATGATTATGACGCGCCAAACAAAAGATGAGATGATTACAATTGATGACATTAAAATTCAATAAATAAAAACAAGTAGAGAAATGTACCAAATCCAGAGGATGAAGTCATATAAAAACAAGTTAAAAAGCACATATTAACATTCAAGACACAGTCTTCAAAACAAATTACATTTGGTAATAAAAGCCAATCTCTTTTAAATAATAAAATAAATTAGAATTGACCTCTCTTCCGATTAAACGGTCGAGAGGTAAGTCACAGCTATTAAAATATTTCTGGCGAAGACTATTAAAACATGGACACTCAATTAAAATATGACGAACAGATAAACAAACATTACAATTAAAACAAACAGGCTCATTTTCCGCTTTAAGAAGATAGCTATGTGTAACTCTGGTATGACCAATTCTGAGACGAGTCAAAAGAACGTCCTCCTTACGATTTCCAGCAAAATCCCAATGTTCAATTCTAGGCTTGACGTTTCTCAACTTGTTGTGATGCTGAACATCCCAAATTTGCTGCCATTTTTTTCGGATCTTTCCCTTGATGACAGCAGATGTCTCTAAAAGGGATAAGGCGACTGGACAGTTCAACAGCAGATTTTGGCTGCGATGTCTGCAAGCTCATTTCCCTTTATTCCCGTATGCCCGGGAACCCAGCAGTACAGGATTTCATATCCTCGAATCTTTAAATTTCTATGAATTTTGAGAACATCCACTACCACAGGATTCTGAGTGTTGGGAAAAGCTTCCAAGGATTTAAGAGCACTATACGAGTCTGTGTAAACTATGAACTTTTTGTGGCAGAGCTTTGAGATGTACAAAAGAGCATAATATATTGCAGTTAGTTCAGATGTTAGGACAGAGAAAGCATGGTGCAGGCATCTGCCCTCTATGTAATTTTCAAATACAAAAGCCATCCCGACATGATCATTTGACTTTGATCCATCTGTGTATATCGGATAATAACTGCTATATTTGTGCCTGTGCTCAGCGAAAGAGTTGTCTGTAAACGATCTCGTTAGTGCTCGCCTTTCACGTGATGTTTAAAAACATCAAGAAGCTGGAATCCGTGAATTTTCCCAAGGTGGAATTTCAAAATTCTGTACTGCTTGGGGGTGCATATCAGAGAGGGAGAGTTCCTCAATGACAGGGCGAACTCTTAAAGGGAAAGTAGGAACACAGGATGGACGTGTTTCAAATAATGTGTTACACTCATTATCAAGTAAGCACAGCTTATTGGGATGTTCAGGTTGGATAGATATTAAAATATTGCAAAAGGGACAATTGCTCACGCCTCAGATAAAGTGATGGTTCGTTACAGTCAACATATAGGCTCTGCACAGGAGAAGTCCTGAAAGCTCCTGAACAAATCCGCAGACCTTGATGGTGAACAGGATCCAGTTTTAACAAAACAGATGACCGAGCGGATCCATAAACAACTGAGCCATAGTCCAGTTTAGAGCGGATAAGCGCTCTGTAAATGCGAAGCATGGAGCAACGCTCTGCACCCCAGGAGGTGTTCGCCAACACTTTTAAAATATTTAGTGTTTTTAGACACTTCTTTCTCAGGTTTAAAACATGAGAAAGGAAAGTCAATTTTCGGTCGAACGTCACTCCTAAAAATTTTACTTCAGGCGCAACTGGAATAATTGTACCATTCAAGTATAACTCAGGTTCAGGATGGAGACCTCGCTTCCTACAAAAGTGCACGCACACAGTTTTCTGTTTCGAAAATGTAAATCCCTGTTTGTCTGACCATTCTTGGATCTTATTCAGAGCCATCTGCAAGTTGCCTCTCTACATATCTCATGTCTGCTCCTCGACAGCTAATCTGCAGATCATCAACATATAGAGATCCCAAGATGGTGGGAGGAAGTTCTTTTAGTACAGAATTTATTTTTAAACTAAACAGGGTTACACTGAGCACACAGCCTTGAGGCACACCCTCTTCCTGTTTAAAAACATCCGAAAAAAACAGAGCCAATTCTTACTTGAAAAGTTCTAGTGTTCAAGAAATTTTGAATGAAAATTGGTAGGTTGCCGCGCAAGCCACTCTCGTGAAGATCCCGGAGTATACCGTATCTCCATGCCTTATCATAAGCTTTTTCAATGTCGAAGAATATCGAGACAAGGTGGCTTCTTCTTACAAATGCTTTTCGAATAGATGTCTCTAAGAGGAGCATGTTATCTACAGTTGTTCTTCCCTTTCGAAAACCACTCTGATAAGGCGATATAATATCATTCTTTTCCAAGAAGTAGACTAGGCGGCTGTTTACCATCTTTTCAAACAGTTTGCAAGGCAACTGGTAAGGGCAATTGGCCGATAGTTCGAGGGATTCCTCGGGATCTTTCCCTGGCTTAGCAATAGGAATGACAACAGCTCTCCTCCATGCACTGGGAAATGTACGCTCCTTCCACACTCTATTGTAAAGTGTGAGAAGGGCACTCAGTGACTTACAGGACAGATGCTTTAGCATTTCATAATTCACGCCATCCAAGACCCGGAGAAGACCTATGTGTCTGCAACAAAGCTCTCTTTAATTCAACCATAGTAAAGTCTCTATTGTAAGGCTCAGATTTGGAAGAGTTGAAATGCGATGGGATTTATTTCAGAGTGTTGCTTGATAGAAAGAAATGCAGGTGTATAGTTTCTGCTGGAAGAAACGGCAGCAAATGTCTCACCAATAGTATTTCGCAATTTCTTCTATGGAGCTAATCACTCGGCCATCTTTTTCCAAAAAGGAAAGTGAGTGGTCTTTATATTCCGCATGCTTTTCGAACTCTTTCCCAAACCCGCTTACTAGGCGTAGAGGATGTTATTGAGGACACATATGAAATCCAGGAATCCCTCTGGCTCTGCCTTCTTACTTTTCGTGCATTTGCTTTGGCTCTTTTAAAAGGCTATGAGGTTTCGCAGAGTAGGATATCTACGAAAAATACCCCATGCTTTTTTCTGTTTTTTCAGTGCTTCATGACAGTCGCGATTCCACCATGGTTTTGAATATTTTAGTAGTTTTTCCTGATGTTCTAGGAATCGAAAGCATAGCTGCCTGAATAATAGTATTAGTAACAGCTTCAACAGCGTCATCGATATGCACATCTTCTACCATTTCATCTGTGAGCTCTGCAATGGAAGAGAAGAGTTCCCAGTCTGCCCTGTCCAGTATGAATCGAGGGGATCTCGACATGGGGTTTGCTCCTCTTCGTGCAAGAGACACAAAAATGGGATAATGATCGCTGTTGTACAGGATCATTTCCGACACTAAAAGTGCAAAAATGGCAACAGAGATGGTGAACAGATGGCAAGGTCGAGAGCGTGGAATGTCCTTGAAGGCTCATGGAAGTAAGTATCTTGCCCATTATTTAGGAGACAAAGGCTATGATCTTCGATCATCTGCTCAATTTGTCTTCCTCGGCAATTTGTATCTTTACTACCCCAGAGCGGACTATGGCCGTTAAAATCTCCTATTATGATGAAAGGCTCAGGCAGCTGCTCTAAAAGACCATTTAAATCTTGCTGATCAATGTGCTCATTTGGAGGCAAATACAGAGAAACAAACTGTAACAACAAATATCAAAATTTGTTTGAGTAGCGACAACTTGGAGGGATGTCGTCAAAGAAAGCACATTTGAGGGATAATCCAGTGAGGTGAGGAGACCTACACCTCCACTGGCACGCTCACCTGCAAGGTTATCCTTTCCTGACGAAAGAAAACCTCCGAAGTTTTGCATGTTGTTCTGGTTTTAGATTTGTTTCCTGTATTGCGAAGCACACAGGATGATAAACATTATTATAGCTTTGATGTCGAGCAAATTTCGGTGGAAACCGCGACAGTTCCATGACACGAGGGTGGCCATTATGAATGGTTTTTGTTTCTTTCTGTGCTCTTGTTTGGTTTTTCGTGGAAGTAGATGCCTGGGAACTTCCTAGACCCTCTTCTACTTCCATAAGTCTGAATCCGCAGATTCAGAAATCATTCTCATCAAAGAGCTATTGCTGCTGGACTTCTATTTTTATTTGATTTTTTTGTTTTTGTGGTAGTTTTGGGTTTTGGTTTTTTGAATTACTGTTTCTTTTTTTGTACTATATGGGTTGCATTTTCTTTTTTCTTGTTGGATGTAGACGGTTGGGTTTTATTTGGTAGGGTCTGTGTGCCTATTGATGTTTGGGTGGCAACTGTACGAGATGATTTTTTAACAGCACTGGCGTATGATGTATTTGGTCGAAGCTGTGTGCTTTGGACTAATCTTCTGGCTTCGGCATATGAGATGTTCCTCGTAACTTTTGCAGTCTGCACTTCTTTTTCCAATTTCCATTTTGGGCAGAGGCGTGAAAATGCTGGGTGCTCACCCTTGCAATTTATACAAAGAGGCGCAGCGGTACAATTTTCAGAATCGTGGCCAATCTGTGAGCATCGGGCGCATGTGAGGCTGCCACGACAAGACGTCTTAGAATGGCCGAAACGCTGGCATTGGAAAGCATCGCATAGGGTTTGGAATATAAGGTCTTACAGGACATATTTAGATATCCGGCCTTAATATTCTTAGGCAGATCAGGCGTGTTGAAGGTAAGGATCACGTGTTTCGTGTCTATCAACTTACCTTCCTTACGCATCTTGATCCGCCTTACACCGCAGACATTTTGGTCGGATAGCTCAGAAGCGATCTCTTCTTCAGAAACATACAGAAGGTCGAATTCCGAGATTACGCCACGACAATAGTTCAGTGACTTATGTGGCTGTTACAGTGACATTCGCTTGCCCAAGTTTAGTTATCTGAAGTAAAGAAGCAGACTGGGTGGCTGAGTTTGTATCAATAAGCAAGTCTCCGGAGCGGAGACGCTTTATATTTCTCGGCTCACCAATACAAGACTGGATGTATATTTGTTTATTACGAAAGGAGACATCTTATGCATTTCGCCAGAAGGACTAGAGATGACTAGGAAACGGGGACTATTGTTATGATTTTTTTATTTGCATCTGTCCGTAATTTTTTTGCAGAATTTTCAGAACTAGGTTGAGTGACTGGTTTAGTAGTAGACGTTTCAGAACTAGGTTGAATGATTGGTTTATTAGTAGGTGGTTCAGAGCTAGGTTGAGTGACTGGTTTAGTAGTAGACGTTTCAGAACTAGGTTGAGAGACTGGAGTGACTTCGAAGTCTTTGATCAGAAAAATTTGAGAATTAGCCATATTGAAATAAGAAAAGATTCGGGTCCGACGGCCCCGCCCACCACGGAGCCCAACAAGGGAACACAGATTCCTGTGTTAGGGCTAGCCGGACCTATACGCAAACTGAAGCCCCACAGTCGGCTTTCCCGAAAGCAGGTACTCCCGAGAGCTTGACCCCAAGCCACTGACACAAGGACTAGTGACCAGCCGATTGACACCCGTGAGGACGACTAAGGTGCCTCCCGTTTAGCTGAAGCAGAGGCCAAAGCAGTGTGTTGGGGACAGTACCTCGCCCCTCAACTACCAGGACCCTCCTTTCCAGCGACACGGGTCTCCACGCACGGCAAACACGTGGGCAGTTTTCTCGCCACTCAACTGGAGACAAGGTCTGTTCCAGTCTCTCGTGACGAGCCCCAAACTCCGTAGAGAGAAACCACAAGGGAGAAGGGAAAAAAGTTCCAGCCAAGAGGAGAGGAGACGGAAAAGAGGATAGATCACTGGGGCTCCAGGATCGTGACACCCGTCTCACCAAGAAGATGATCCCCTGAAGGGCTAGGGTACCTCGGGATTGCCACACCCGTACTCACAAAAGTGAACCTGGGATTGCCAACCCCCTGAAGCGGCGCCACTTACTGTCTTATAAACAGGCAGATATTTGAAATTATATGACATCATACCAAGAAATTCATAACTTTCATTTGATAATAAATATTATAAGTTTAAAAATGTTGTTTAATTTTTTTTAATATTAAATCATGTGTGTGTTTTAAGTAATCTGTACGAGTTTTGATTATTATTTATTTAATAGTGGCTGACATGACCACAATCAGAAACATGATAGACAGACTTCACATGCTGCAGTTTCTACAGGTTTGGTTTATTTAGTTACGGTAAAGCACACAAGGGCTATCTGCCTAGGGAAAGGGATGCCTTTGTGGAGGACTTTCTAAGGAAAACTGGCTCGCATACAGATTACACATAGGAAAAACCACAAAAACGCCTATGCAGAAAACCCTGGAATCAAAGTCGGTCGGAACAACCAGGGTTCAGCAATTTTACCTCGCGGGGGGTGCTGGTGGGCCTCTGTTTCTACAGATGGCATCATTATAAAGTAAGAAAAGAACATGTAAGTTCTAGAAATATATATTCAATTATCTAAAAAAAAAAAAAGCCTTATCGAGAATTACAAGTTACTGACAATTAAAAGAATTCTACTGTATCTGCTGAAAATAGATAAAACTGAAAACAGATATAGAAATTTTTAATAGACTTTTTTATTATCATTTTATTGTCCTTATAGGAGACATTCAGTATTTATAGCACTGAGAAATTAGTGAAGAAAAATAAAAAATGTTTAAAGAAACATATTTATTGTATAAACTACTAAGCAAATTACTGTACTTACTGTACATTTTACAGCAAAGAATTGTTGTGTGTTCTGGCTGAAGATCGAACTTACACATCGGAATCAAATTCTTTTCAAAAAACTTTAATTAATGTACCAACTAAATCTACGTTAGAGACATTGATATTGTTATCTGCATTCAAATTTGGCCTGTAAGAGAAAAAAAAGTTAACAAAAAAAATGAACTGAACATTTCTTCATATCTTTGAACTATTTTGAGATGGAATCATTTCAGTTAATTAATAGGAGGTATTTTCTACATCTTAAGATAAATATTCTATAACATTGTTAAAAAAAGCAGGCCTTATATTATATTTCCACGTTTAATTAAAACATGTACTGTTAGACATATTTAAATACATTTTTTAAAACAAGTGATCTTTTGAAAATTTTTTGTTTTGGCTCTTGACTGCAGCACAACTTATGTAAAAAATGTGATTGTGTTTCACTTTTAATTTCAAATATAAAATGTGAAAAGTATTTAGAATAGTATCTTTAAAGAAAAAAAATTATGACATTTAAAATTAGGCCACACAGTTTTGTTACAGGAAAATAGCATTAAATGTCCGAACTGTTTTTCTGTTATTTTTATCATAAAAACTAGTATATTAAGGAGTTATTAATATAATTTATGTAATCTTGTATTATTGAATAAAATTTACATAATAAAATTTATGTAATCTTGTATTCTGAAAGTCTTTTACACTTATTTGATAAATAATTGTTATCATTAAAATAGTTGAACTTATTTCTAAATCATGTTCATATTCATTAGTGTTACAAATATATTTTTATTTGATATGCATCATACTTACATTTCTGTTAGTTCTTTCTTTTCGAGAAACCTTGCCCGATGTTTTGCATATGCAGAGTCTTTGAAGAATTTGCATATTTCTTCATGTACCTTTTTCTTTTTCACTTCACAGAAACTGTGCTCTGGAGGTGTTTTCACATGACAGAAATCCTGCACAGGAACAGGAGTATATAAATGCTTATACTTCCTAGTGTTCCAACTGCATTTCATATCTGTGGCAGATAAATTCTCCAGCTCATTAATATCGTTCCTGCACAAATTAAAGTATGTTGGTACAATTATTTCCTCGATTTTAATTTTATAAAAACTGTCATGAACTATTTATTTCCATTAAAATATAATAGAAATATCTATCTTTCATTGGGGAAATTGCATAAAAATTAATTCTTTAAATAAAATATAAAATTTTAAATTTTAGGAGGAAAAGTAAATTAATACAGAAAGAAATTTAAAATTTTACGAGAAAGACAACATGCAGTAATTTTAGACCTAATTTTTCTATTTTCCCACACGAGTTATTCGGGAAAGGCATCTATTGCTGCTACTGACTTTCAATTTTATACAGATAATATATCGAGAAATGATATAAAAATAATTTTATTATGCATGTATGTATGCATGCACGTATGTACAAATATTTATCTACATTTCTGAAACTGGTCAGAAATATACATACATATGTACCTACATTTCTGAATCCGGTCCTAATAGCAGAAAAGTACAAATATCTTTGACCACTTTGTTATTGGATTTATGTCAAATTATCCATTTTGATGACAAATTTTATAATATATAAAATCACAGCATGTAAAAAATACATATTTTAATTAGTTAAAATATCTAATCAATGCAAATACTGATACTAGATAACATAAATTTTATATCAAGAACGGTTATTTGCTTGTTTAATGAATAGAAAACAATAGCTGAGTGAAAAACATAACACATTTGACTAATTCAAAATTATTAAATCTTACTTACTCATGGCAGAATAACATAACAGAAACACAATGTTTGCAAGATTCTCCTGCTCCAGCTTTGCAGCTACAATGAAAGGACTTAATTTTCCATCTGCTTTCATTTTCAATGAATACTCCATTAACCACGTATGGCGGTGAAGAAGTCGAACTAGATTGAAGACATATAATGCTTGTATCGCGATTTCTTCATCTTTCCGGGCCTTAATACCGCACATTATCAGTCGTTTCGAAGCCAAAATTGCTTCCCCTTTTTTTATACAATTACTCGAACTGGTACATTGTATAAATCCCAAAATTGTTGAAATCTGCAGTTTTTTATTCATCGTAATACTAGAGCTTCTACAGCAGCTAAGTAAAAAACAACTCAGACTTCAGGTCACAGTTGCAGACGAATTTGAAACGCCCTCTATCGGTCATTACAATCGCCAATTGTGAAATACATTGTTGCGGCGCGAACATAAAATAACATATTTTTTGAATGGCATCACTTACGTTTTTGTATTTATAAATGTCTTTTGCTTGTTCTATACTTCATGTTTATGTTAGGAAATAAATAAGTATAAAATACTATCTCCTAATATCTGGTGCCGAAAAAAACCATTTACGAAACAGGACCTTGAACTTATACTTCCTACTGTTGGATTATTCTTGCTGAATTATTTTACTTCCGACATTAAAACTTAGTTTTGTTTTTGTTCTTTTCTACTACTCGGGCAATGGCGCCGACCGGTGAAGCTGTAGACAAAATGACGCAACTGAAACGAAAGCGGAAAGCCGTGCGAAGTAATGTTTCTCGCTTTTCTACTGAAATTGATACTTTGAACGATGATTTCTCAATTGAGAAAGTTGAATATATTTGTAATCGCTTAACAACTGCTTTAAATGATATGAAACTAATAGATAACGAAATTCACAACTTCCTTTCTGACGATGAATATGAAAGTGATAATTTGCAGTGTGAAAACTACATAGATACTGGTGAATCCGCAATTTTCAAAGCACGAAAAATTATTCAAAATAAATTATCGCCAACTGCAAATAATGTTACTGCTTCGAATATGGATACCAATGATTTAGCGATGACATTTGGCGACCCTCCTACTACAGTGCCTATGACTCAACCATATACAGTTAAATTGCCAACAATTAAACTACAGTCATTTACAGGAGAAATTGAACAGTGGCAATGTTTTTGGGAACAGTTTAAATCTTCTATAGATGCCAATCCACATCTTTCTGTTATTGATAAACATGTTTTCCTCAGAGGTTATTTAGATGGTGAAGCTAAACGCCTTGTTGATGGAATTAGTGTAATAGGAGACACCTATGAAACAACAAAAAAAATTGTTGGAGGAAAGATATGGAAATAAAGATCGAATTATCCAATCACACTTAGATTACTTAGAACATTTAAATGTTATTCAAGACCCATCTCCTACGCATCTAAATGATCTTTACATAGAATGTAACAGAAGAATTCAAGCTTTAACTGCTCTGGGTGAAAATATTGAAGCATACGGTAGAATCCTAGTGCCAAAAATTATTCGTGCATTCCCCAATGATATTTGTTGCCGCTGGATTATCTATGCCAAGCGTGAAAAACTAAACGAAGGTAATATTACTAGATTGATGCAGTTCTTGGCAGAAGAAGTGGAAGGTGTAGTTGCAGCACAAAGAGTTAAAGGTACGTCTTTTTCTGATCACACCGTAAAGTGCACTGTAGAAAATTTTAATATCAATTCCAAAACAGTAAACAAACGTAAGAAAATTTCACCCATTTTGTTCATTTTGTGATACTACAGGACATTGGCCTCAATATTGTGAAACTGTTACAGACTATGATACTCGTGTTCAGAAACTTAAAACTTCAAATCGCTGCTTTCTGTGTACTAACCGTGGTCATAGAGTTTCAAACTGCCCAAGAAAAAATACTGCACGGTGCACTAAATGCAAGCAAGAAAAGGCATCATGTTTCTATTTGTCCTCCTGTTGAAAACAATCAACTGCGGATAACTAACAGTGCTGTAAATCACATAACCTTTCCTAAAACAATTTTCACACATTTGCAAACTGCTCGTGTGTATGTTACTGGCCCCACAGGCATTACTAAATTAACACGCTGCATTTTAGATGGTGGTAGCCAAGCAAGTTTTGTTCACACAAACCTCATTGAAAAACTTAAGCTTAAAGTTGTCAGTTCTGCCTCACTTTCAGTTCAAGCATTTGAATCTTTTACTTCACAAGAACAACGTAGATGTGTTCAACTGTCACTTTCAAGTTTGTGGAGCAACCAAGCATTTTTTGATCTCCGCATTTGAAAGCTCCAATTCCTATACTACACATCCTACTGCTCCACCAGAAATAGTTCACTTTGCTCAGAAGAAAAGATTGAGAATTGCTGATCCTCCGGATGACTCTTCACTGCCCATAGAAATACTTATTGGTGGTGATCATTATTGGCAAATTGTTTCCGCAGAAGCTCCAATCAAGCTTTCAGAATCTTTTGTTATGGTACCGTCAGTGTTTGGATGGGTTCTTAGTGGAACAAGAACACATACTACAATCGCTGAGAAGACTTCTGTCCATCAAGTTTGTGTGCAAGTTAAAACTGATTGTTTAAATGATCAGGTACGTCGCTTCTGGGAATTAGCCTCCATAGGGATACAAGATGCGCAGAAACGAAAAATGACTACTCGAGATGAAGAAATTTTATCAGAATTTCACAAAACTTAAGCACTGAAGACAATCGAAGAATTGTGTCTCTGCCTAGAAAACCATTGGTCACACCTTTGCCTACAAACAAAATTATAGCGGAAAAGGAAAACAGATTTCATTCTCTTAAAAAAAGACTTGCATCTAGTGATGTGTTAAAGACACAGTATGCCAAATGCATGCTGAATTACATTGAACAAAAGCATGTTGAAGTTTGTTCCATAGATGAATCCAATGAGAAGCCAGTATATTACCTTCCTCATCATGCTGTAAGAAAGAAAACGCAATCTGAAACCAAGTGGAGAATTGTGTTTGATGCTTCCTCGCATGCTCCAGGAATGATTTCACTGAACGATACCTTGGAAGCTGGCCCGAATCTTCTTCCTGAATCTATTGGTTGTCTACTAAGATTTCGATTGCATGAATTCGCTGTTACATGTGATGGTAAGCAAGCTTTTTTACAGTTGTCACTACATAAAGAAGATAGGGACGTCACAAAATTTTTCTGGTACAAATTAAAATCTGATTCATCTCAACCTACTACTTTTACAGATGAAATAACTGTTTACAGATTTACTCGTTTACCATTTGGCCTTACTTGCAGTCCGTTTTTACTCTGTGCTGCGACACGAGAATTGGCTGCAAAACATATCGCAGAATTTCCAATTGCTGCACCAATGATAGATAAACATCTCTATATGGATGACTTTCTTGCTAGTATGGAAACTGAATCACGCATTATAATGCTATATCACGAGATCAAGAATTTAATGGCTCTAATGAAATTGCCTATGGAAAAATGGGCTACAAACTCTTTGAAACTCAAAGATGTACTACAAACACATGAAGAATCTCACAAAACGGAAACAACTGTCTTAGGTATTGGCTGGAATACAACTTCTGATACTTTGAAGCATGCATTCAAGACTTCCCTCTGTGTTTCTACAGACAAACCACTTACAAAGAGATGGTTACTCCGCTGCATTGCTAGTTTTTATGATCCCTTAGGCCTTTTTTTCACCGTTTACTATTCTTGGGAAAATCTTATTCCAAGATACATGGATTCTTGGAATCAAGTGGGATGAATTACTACCTGCTAATTTATCAACTTTATGGTATGCAGCTGTGAAAGAACTTGATGACATTTGCTCCCTTCAAATTCCTCGATGCATAGGCATTTCATCACATGTTCCTTTTGCTATTCATGTGTTTTGTGACGCATCTGAACGTGCCTATGGTTCAGTTCTGTACATTGTTACCTTTAAAGGTGACCAATCAAATGTGAATTTAGTGTATTATTGGCCTCATTCTGATACTATTTCTAAAGATTACAGTCATAACTTCGAGGCAAAGAAATAAAAAGTTCAGAACCTTCACATCGTATCTACTCAACCAATCATAAAGGCTGGAAACTACAGTTCTTACGTTCGATTGTTACGTGTAACATCTTGGATTCTTCGCTTTATTCACAACTGTAGGAAACAAGAAAAGTTAGTGGGTGAGTTACATGCCACAGAACTGAATCAAGCTCGTATTTATTGGATACAGACCGTTCAGAAAGAATCCTTTCCTTCAGAATATGAAGCTCTGTTGACAGGAAAATCACTCCCTAAGAAATCAAGGATAAAACAATTTAACCCTTTTTTCAAGAACAATATTATACTTCTTGGTGGTCGACTACAATTTTCTGATTTATCTCATGCTGAAAAACATCCCATATTATTGGAAGGTTCTCATCATTTTACAAGCCTACTGATACGCCAAACACATTTACAAATGCATCATCTTGGTGTTTGGATTGTACTTTCTCAGTTTCGTTCAGAATATTGGATATTAAGAGCAAGACAAGCCATTAAAAAGGTGATAGACTTGCCTTCCATGTAAAGTACTGAAACAAAAGAGAAGTGAACAGATAGAAGCTCCACTACCAGCTGAGCAAATTCAAAAGTCATCTCCTTTCGAAACTACCGGAATTGATTTTGCTGGACCACTCTACGTAAAAAATAACTCCGTTACAAAAGCTTACATTGTCATCTTCACATGTGCTACAACTCGAGCTATCCACTTAGAATTAGTTTTCGATCTGCGTACTGACATCTTCGTACTTGCATTACAACGTTTCGGATGATTACAGTTTGAGAAAAATTGGATGATTTATTGAAGTGATAGAGCTTTATAAAGTGAAAAAGTCAGTAACGCGTTTGTCCATCTCTGGCCCTTATGCAAGCAGTTATTCGGCTTGGCATCGATTGATAGAGGGTGCGGATGTCCTCCTGAGGGATATCTTGCCAAATTCTGTCTAAATGGCGCGTTGCGTCGTCAACATTCCGAGCTGGTTGGAGGGCCCTGCCCATAATGCTCCAAACGTGCTCAATAGGAGAGAGATCCGGCGACCTTGCTGGCCAAGGTAATGTTCTGCAAGCACTCAGGCAAGCAGCAGAAACATGCTCAGTGTGGGGGCGGGCATTATCTTGCTGCAATGTAAGCGCAGGGTGGCGTGACGGCAAGGGCAACACAACGCGCTTTAGAATTTCGTAGATGTACCGCTATGCTGTAAGGTTGCGACG